ATTTGTCGCAATCTGGACAAATGTGTCACTTGCCAACCCTCGTTTTAGAGCGTCGGCACTTTATATAGTGTCAGCATCGGTCTGTAAATATGGTCATCGCCGCGATTCCGGCGCTAGTATTACTGTCTCGATTGCGTTTGTCGCAATCTGGGCCCGCCTCTCACCCGCCGACCCTCGTTTTAGCGAGTCGGCCCTCCAGATAACGTCAAGTTCGGTGTTTAAACTGTCATCGCCGCTATCCGGGCGTTAGTGTATTGTCACTATTCGGGATTTGTCGCAATCTGGACAAATGTGTCACTTGCCAACCCTCGTTTTAGAGCGTCGGCACTTTATATAGTGTCAGCATCGGTCTGTAAATATGGTCATCGCCGCGATTCCGGCGCTAGTATTACTGTCTCGATTGCGTTTGTCGCAATCTGGGCCCGCCTCTCACCCGCCGACCCTCGTTTTAGCGAGTCGGCCCTCCAGATAACGTCAAGTTCGGTGTTTAAACTGTCATCTCCGCTATTCGGGCGTTAGTGTAATTTTAATTTTTATTTTATATACGTTTTATGTTATTAGTAAAGTGTGTCGTAGTCGGTAAACCGGCCTCTTACTTGTAGCCGTTCTCGGTTTTTTGCGACACTTTTTTAATGTAGTTATTATAGTTCTACGTGTATTTATTTATACTTATATCTATTTGGCGTAATAATGAAGTGTTTTTTTTTATTTAGATGATAATTAGATAATTTTTAATGAGCTTATAAATGAGTTGACTATTTCGGAAAAATGCAAATGATTGCGTATGAAATAGTTCGGTCGAAATCGGCTTTATTAAGGTATTTTATAGCTGTGTTTCTCTATATTCGCGGGGTTATTTTTTAAAAAGCCATTTATAGTGTGCATTTTAATGGCGTACTCTGACTGTCTATCAAATTTAAAATTTTAATTTTCAATTTTTTTCATTCGGCTTATTATCTTTTTCATTATATCAGCCCATGTATATTATATTTTATTTGCTAACTGTAGCCGAGAAAAGCACACAACTCTATGCAAGATATTTGGATGTTTTTTTTACTTAAGTTGATCGGTGTGTGTTTATATACTTCGACTATTTAGTTTATTCTCATTATTATTTATATTTAATTGTTTCGTATTATTTGTGTTATATTTGTGGCCCTTATGCCAAAATGGTATTTTTGATATGCAGCAACTGCCTCAGTTGCTGTCCACCAAAAATGTGTAATGTTTTTGTAAACAAATATCAAAATATAATTGTATAATTCATTATAAATAATTCAAATAAAATTATGTCATTAAATGTAAATTAGCAATTAAATATCGTATATAATTATCTATTATTTTTTATGTTAAAATGTAAAATGAAAAATTGAATTAGAACTTACCTGAGATCATGTTAATGTTATTCTATAATGTTAATTAAATTTTTAATATTTAATGTGCTGTTTTATATTTAATTTGCATGTAATTGGCGAATTGATGCGCAATTATTTTTTAAAATTGCGAGCTGATTAATTAGGCGATTAACTGCCATAATATTCCTAATACGAAAGGCCATAAAACCCTAAAAGCACCCCAAAAGATAACTTTTAATAGGTATATGGAGATACTGTTTTATTGAATGGTCTTATAAACATTACAAGGAATTGTTCCTAGACATATTTATTTAGATCCTTTAAAACTTGCTTTCTGAAATGCTAAATGGTTGGAAAAACTAGGAATATTATTTAAAAATGATATATAAAATCAACGTTTTATTTACAATAGACAAAATATACTTATAATGTATTATATGAAGCTATTTTTCTGCCTATTGCCAACTGCTGTTGTATTTGACTGTGTTTTGTTTTCATGATAACTATAGAACAATCTTTATTTTCATATATGAATTTTGCTTTTTATGCAACTACTTATTGTAATAAAAAATATCAAAGTTTAAAACAGCTTTAAAAGTCGAATACAGGTGCCATTATGCTATATACAGTGTGCTGTATGTGTTTATGTGGCAGTTGTAATAAAAATAAATTGTTCAATACGTATTTAGAGTAGCATAAAAGTAACTTTGCAATTAAAATTTTCATTATAATGAAATTAATTTTGAATGCAAAAGTTCTTTTTTTTTGTATTAATATATCATTTAAGTCCTTACACATGTATTGTATAAACTTATAAATGAACAAAGTTAAATTTGTAATAGCAATGTTATATACAAAACAGTATATCTAACAATAAAATTATACAAAAAATAATTTTGTTAATCAGTGGCGTGTTATTCTATGGACAAAAAATGCAATTGCCTGTGTGGGGCCTCCCTAACTCAAATTGAAATGGGCTTTGTAAAGCTATAACACGCCACTGTCATTAACTTATTTCAATTTTTTACTTTGTTTTATGATTCTTTCAAGTTATGAAAAGTAATAAGATTTACATATTAAGATTTTTGGACTGCAATTTGTAGACCTATAAATTCTCGATCTGTCTTTCCTTAATTTCGAGAACAGAACCCGATACGGAAACCTTAGGGGCAGAAGGCCCCAATTAACTATATAAAAACTTCCGATGCAAATCGGAAGTTGCGTTATTTCAATAAAAACTTTCCCTGGAAGGTGTTAGAGATATGACTGGCACGATTCTATTGTTAAAGGAAAAGTGTGATGTACAGGGGCAAGCCATTACTAATTTGAGGTGGAGAAAATATATTTTAGATTTAAAAGTTAAAAATTACAGCCCAACTTTGTGACAATGTCACAATAAATAATTGCTTGTTTTTAAATAAAACCATTTGGTAAATAATATATTATGATGGACTCACGTTAGCATCACTAGCTGTGAAATCGTCTTTAAGTACTGTATTGACGTTAACCAATAGCTGACCAATGGTCAATTTTGTCCTCAGAGAAAGTTATACACCAGATCAATTGTTAAATTTTACTATACACTTCATTTTAAGATTGAGGTTTCTTTTTTTCTAATAATTTTCATTAATTTTATCCATCAAAATCCTGGAAATAATGTTATGTTAATAAATAATTTTGCTGGTAGTTTTAAAAATTATATTTTGTTCAAACAGTAATAATAATTCTGACTGCTAATAGAAGGGACATCACCATTAACTAATATTATTTAGTATAATGTATATACTTTGCCATTAACCTTTTTTCTAGTTCAGTCATTAACTTTGTTTTCCTACACCAAGGTTGTGACATTTTGTGGTTTCTAATGCTACCAGACAAAATATAGTGTGATAAAATTCATGACATGTGCCCATCCAGCAGCAGTCTTGTCAACAGCTTACTTTTCATTGATCCTTCTCTAGACATATTTATCAATGTTGCAAAAAATAATCAAGATTCAGCCTGTACAGTATGGATTATTCCAAGATCGGCAGTACAAAGCACTCAACTTGCACATTTTCCAGTTGGGACTCAAACCAAGCAGTTGTCATCTGATTGCTGGACTCTTTACTTTTGTTTCATCTTTTAATCCAGTTTACAGTTCAACTATTTATTAAAAATGCTTTGCATCATTCAATCTTGGCAGTTTGCAGTGTGTAGAGTACACATTGTTCATATAATACAATATGTTCTTGATGTTTTTGCAATGATTAAAGGTCTCATATTCTCCATATCCATTTCATGTACAGTGGATATCAGTACGTGATCATTTTTAATATAAAAAGGATGAAAGAATGCAGTATAGTGTAGTGCGAGATCATTTCTTACCTGAGGTACTGCAATAAAACATGGCAGTAAATCACTAATAGAATTTTTGCTTCCTCTGCAGCAGTCATGTTTCATCAGGATTGAAAATGTCATCTGTACTGTATTTAAAAACTGTATCTTGTCTGTAGTCCATGCACTTGTTATGTGCAATGAAACAGCAATGTTTCTCTGCATAAAGATTTTGAGATAATTCCATACTTTTCACAAAATCCCTGTAAAAAGAAGGAACTGCCCATGGGACAGTGGCATGCTTGAACATCTTGAAATCAGATGAAAATAATTTCCGCACATCCTCAAACTGTGTGCTATGCATTTTATTCCTGCTGGATTCAACATTGGATCTTTTTAACTTTTTTCAATGTGGGATGATGTTTTAAAATCATTGACAGAATGGAAAGGGTGATGTCAAACTCCCTTGTAACATCTAATTTTTACTCAGAATCAACTTCTTGTAGGAAGAAGCATTTACTTTGACATATTTCATTATGAAGTCTGACAAGAATACTTTCAGTGACTGATGGATCATAACAACAGCGTAGTAAAGCATATCACTCATTTGATACTAAAGTAGTTTAATATAAAACTCTTATTTACTTCCTCCTTCTTGTAACTTCCTAGTATCATCTCTGTACTCATCTTATTTGGTGGTGGCATTCCTGTCCTATGTTCTGAAAGGTCCTGTCACTAATGTCATTTACTCTTTTATGGGTTTTCTCTTCTAGGTACTTCCAGAATATTCTTATATGGGTAACGAATAATCCAGTCCACCTACCACACCAGCCTTGACCTAAGACATGCCCCATTTGTCCAGTCATCTATGGAAGTTCATAATCATTTTCATTCAACCCATCCCAGTGTTTTCATATATTGAGAATGTTCAGCATAGCAAAAAAACCTTTGGTATTCTGAAATTTATATTGACAGTTCTTAAGCAAGTCTAGGTGGCCAATTTGTACTTCAAATTGTTTGCTATATTGAGGGGTTATCTGTGTGTTTAACAGTAAAAAATAAGCACTCTCTCTCAAATACGCTTTTTAATGTTCTTTAAAACTGTATTGTTTGATTTTAAACAAGTACAACAAATCCAAAAAATAAATTTAAATAGTTTGTTGTCATAGCAATCACAATCATATTAAATTACAAATATTATTAATTACAAGTATTAATTCCTTACAGATATAGTAAAATATAGTATGAAAATTTAAACAGAATAAATCTTTATTTATTTTAAATATAAATTTTACAATAATTCATAATTTATAATATGTTTTTACAGTTATCTCTATTACATTAATTAAATATGATAAAGAAAAGTTGAACCTAATTTTATTGTGCTTAATTAACATAGGGCTAATTAGTCCAAAATGAACATCAAGACAAATCAAACTCCGAATGCCAGTTTTTACAAAATTTAAAATTAAAATGGTCCCAGGAATATAAAAGTAAAGTAAAGTAGTTCACTGACCATTTATAGAAGAAAATATTGCATGCTTTTTGTCATAATGGAAATGTTTGTTAAAGGATTGTAGTGACAAAGTTCAACATCAATATTTTCTAAAGGACCATCCCTGTTATCAGTTACAGGTATCGTAGAGTAAAAAAATATAAAAAATTGTGTGTGTAGAGCAGATAACCTGAACAATTAAAAAAGAACATTATTTAAAATTGATTCTAAAATATGAACAAATATAGTAATGATTTAAAATAAATGTAATCACTTCTAGCTACTTACCATTGATTATCCACAAAGTAATTGTCATACATACATGTCACATAGCTGCTCTAGTGATATGTCAGAATGATGTCACACAACTCCTGTCTTTAAGTGCTCACAATCAGTTAAATCTATTAAACATGTAAAAAATAAAATGTCAGAAACATCAATGTATTCAAGAGTTACATAGAAGAGTTGAAAAAACAGCTATTTTTAATATAAAAATAAGCAAACAAACATTAAAATTCTAGTTAAGCTTCATTTTCATCAATTCATATATGTATTAATAAAAATTAAACCATATGCTAATAGAAATAAAAGAACTTCTTTAAAAGAAATGGTTTATTTAATTAAAATTGTTGCATTTTCTAAAATTTAACATTGAGTTTAGCAAAAATAAGTGTGTGAATTATAGCTTAGATAGAACTTCTGTTTGTATAAATCACATTCTAGATGTTAATTCAGATAAATTAAGTGTATTAGTGTGATTTGATTTGTGTAAAGTTGTGGATTTGAGTATTGCCTGTTGCTAAGTTATATACTTTATGAATGAGCAATGGTGTTAAGTTGCCCCAATTGAAAATAATTCTTAATAAGGAAATATTACAAAAATTATGTGAAATCTTAATTTATTATTATTATTTGTATATATTATTATTATTTGTATTATTAATATTATTTGTATATATAAAATCGATTAGTTCTTAAATTGGGGAAGAAATTGTTTTTCATCACAGTAATACAAGATAAAATTCAAATATATTTACTATACAATCACACAAAAAATTATAAATAATGCATCACATATATTGTTATTACATATTATTATATTATGATTATATTATATATAATATATAATAATAATAATATCAGAATTCTCAATAAAATATATTAAAATTAATATTATACATGGAATGGAATGGTATGTAAAATCAGTATAATAAGGGAACATTATTATTGCTAAATTTCAAAAAGTAATAATAAATTTAGTATGCAATTGATAAATAAGGGTTGATTTGATTTGGAATTAATCAATATCAATATTAAATACTTATATATGTAAAACTGTATAGGTGTATATACTATTTGACTATTGAATTGAAATAAAAAGCTAAGAATTAATTTTTTAAACTCATATTCTCCATATCCATTTCATGTACAGTGGATATCAGTACGTGATCATTTTTAATATAAAAATAAGCAAACAAACATTAAAATTCTAGTTAAGCTTCATTTTCATCAATTCATATATGTATTAATAAAAATTAAACCATATGCTAATAGAAATAAAAGAACTTCTTTAAAAGAAATGGTTTATTTAATTAAAATTGTTGCATTTTCTAAAATTTAACATTGAGTTTAGCAAAAATAAGTGTGTGAATTATAGCTTAGATAGAACTTCTGTTTGTATAAATCACATTCTAGATGTTAATTCAGATAAATTAAGTGTATTAGTGTGATTTGATTTGTGTAAAGTTGTGGATTTGAGTATTGCCTGTTGCTAAGTTATATACTTTATGAATGAGCAATGGTGTTAAGTTGCCCCAATTGAAAATAATTCTTAATAAGGAAATATTACAAAAATTATGTGAAATCTTAATTTATTATTATTATTTGTATATATTATTATTATTTGTATTATTAATATTATTTGTATATATAAAATCGATTAGTTCTTAAATTGGGGAAGAAATTGTTTTTCATCACAGTAATACAAGATAAAATTCAAATATATTTACTATACAATCACACAAAAAATTATAAATAATGCATCACATATATTGTTATTACATATTATTATATTATGATTATATTATATATAATATATAATAATAATAATATCAGAATTCTCAATAAAATATATTAAAATTAATATTATACATGGAATGGAATGGTATGTAAAATCAGTATAATAAGGGAACATTATTATTGCTAAATTTCAAAAAGTAATAATAAATTTAGTATGCAATTGATAAATAAGGGTTGATTTGATTTGGAATTAATCAATATCAATATTAAATACTTATATATGTAAAACTGTATAGGTGTATATACTATTTGACTATTGAATTGAAATAAAAAGCTAAGAATTAATTTTTTAAAATAAATCCTGTTATCAATAGATAGAAATTATAAATTCACTTTAAATTCTCATTGATAATTTTACAAGATTATATTAAGATTTCAACTCTCTGCTAATGTTTTTCTTAAATGTTTATAATTTATCTTGATATGAAATAAATATAATTTAAAGGAATAATTTATTCCAAATATTTTTCCAGACTTTTATAAGATATGGAAAAAAGTCTTATTCTCATCTGATTTAAATATGCTATTGTATTAGAATGAAAATAAAAATGCCTTACCTTTCTTTTCTTTTGCTTCTCGTTAATTTTTTGAGCACAAGAAGTTTCCAAAACGATTCCGTGTCTCTTTGGAAAGTGAATTATAAAATTTGAGAACGATACTTCTTCCTAGAATAATTTAAGAATTTAATTATTAAGAATAGAAAAATTAACTAATTAATTAATTAAATATTAAAATCATTTTCTGTTACATTACATTTATTGTTTCGTTGAAAACACTATACAACACACGATATACAAGCGAATATTATTTATAATCAGATTATTTAATTCGATGCTAAGTGAAAACAACCTTAAATATTTTTTATGAAAATTTAGGACTTTACATTTAATATTCTATCGACAATTATTCAATTTTGATCGCTTCTAAATAAAAAAACATTACATTACATGCGTTATTCGGGTTTATGTAATTCAAGTTTTTCGAAAAATCTCAAAACGGAGGGAAAAATAACTCACAATTTCTAGAAAATTTTCTATTTCAAGATGGCGTCGGAAATCGAACGAATTCGAATCGTCGAACGTGCGATAATTGCGTCACGCGTTACGTCACAAGTTCTACGTCAGAATATTAACTAATTGCAAATCTTTTCTTAAAATGCTAAAATAGTCCCTTTTTTTAATAAAATGTCGCTAAGATATTTGTAATAACAAATAAAATTATAAAAACGCATTCCGTATCCTTACAGGATACTGGTCGCAAATCTAAATTTAAAGCGTATCTAATTTAAATTATTTAATATTATTAATCGAAAAATATTAAGTTACCTACGTTACGCGAGTTTTCATTATTAAAATTTGTACGAAAAATGTTAAAATAGAGGGAGAAAGAACTCGCAATTTCCGGAAAACATTCTATTCCAAGATGGCGTCGGCAACAATGGGAAATGGAACGAATTCGAATTTGTCGTTGCAATGCGTCACGCGTTACGTCACGAGTTTTACGTCATAGATGTATTATTTCAAGTATTTTAATTGCATTTTTTACAGGAAAGTTACTTTTTAAACAAATTATTTTCCCTCGGATTTGGCAGAATATTTGTTAAATGTAAAACTTCGCTAAAAAGAAAATTTATTCAGATTACCTTAGAGGTGGTTGGGGTTTGATTGGAAACAATTGCTTCCACCATTCTAAGATCGGGAATTTACAACAACTGAACTCCATGAAACCAAATTTGCACTTAGTTGGTTTCAGTTTCAATTTATATTGTCATAATCTTTTCTTAACTATCAAAGGATGGGTCGCCACACTTCCTTCTTGTAGACTGATTATGTAATTTACACTTGAATTCTTGATTGTTATGTTTACAACTAACTACGACGCCTGGAGGCCTTACCCCCCCGACTGTAAAGTGGGTGAAGATTGTCTCCTGTTCTACTTTCTGTAGAAGTGACATAATCATTATAAATAAAAGAAAAATTCAGTATATCTTTTATTTAATTTTAAAATTTGTTGTTCAAATTTACACCCAAATATTAAAGCGGTTTAAAATATTAGCATTTGGTAAATATACTTAATTTACGTATAATAAATCTAAATAACAGGTTTATAAACACTAAAAAACATAAATATTTCGAAATTAGGACTAGATAATTATATGCACAAATAAATTAGTAAGGCTATAATACATACTCTCACTTATATCCAAGTATTATATCCAAAGATCAGTTCTCGCTAATTGTCGAAAATAAATTATTTTTCAACTTTTCTTTCTGTAGCATATTCTGAAACAAGTTCTAAATTCACAGTAAAATTTCCATCTTATATCCATTAAAAACAGCGCATAATGTATCCATACACGAAATAAAAATTTATCGCAGTGAACTTAAAAAAACCGAGAAACACCAAGGAAACAGTAAACCGAACTCTACGAAATCTGCCGCGAACTGATGGATATGGGATGGATTGAAAATACTCCTCACGTGACAAAAGGACAAATTTTTCTGAATAAACGCTAAAAGTTTTGAAAAATTCTTCAATGAAACCCGATGAATTTAATTAATACACGATAACTAAATATGTTTAATAAATATTAATAATTTACCATTATAATTATGCAAATTACATATAAAAAAATCCCTGCCAAAATCTCCCCAAACCGCGGGAAGACTGTAACGTCGCGTGTCATTAAAACTTTCCTGCTAAACACTAAAAATTTTATATAATTATTTTATTAATCCAGTTAGATTTAAATAATATAAAATGTCTAGATCTGTTTAATAAAGTTTAGTAACGTACTATCACAAATATGCAAATTAGATATGAAACAGATCACTGCTGAAAATCTCTTGCCAAGAGGATAAATATAAAACGATTACATGACCAAAAACTAACACGAAAAATATGAAAAAATATGTTTAAAATTTAATGTTTTGTGTACAAATTAATAAAATTTTAACAAATGTCATTGTTTAAAATTTAATGTCTTTGTAAAAATTAGTAAATTTTAACAAATTTCATCGAAGATAAGAGAATTATTTTCAGCTTACATAAACTGTACAATAAATGATAATTTCTTCGAAAGAAATCGTTATCTATACCTATATCTATATATAAAAATGGACATGTATGTCCCTATATTTCACTTTTCCGCCAAAACTACACATCGCCAAAACTACTACATTCGAATTTGTTCGAACAAATTCGAACATAAAATTCGAATATTGGTTTGATTATAGAACGATTGTAAACGTTCCAGAAACGTTGAAAATAGTTCGTTTGACTTGACGTGAACAGGAGACGTTCAGAAATAGAATCGGGACCAGGTCTCTAATTAGTCTGGAAACGGGGGACCTAATTCTTGCATTCTGTGAAAACGGGTAAGATTGGCTATAATGTAATTATCTTAATCTTCACTA